CAGATTCTAACAGAGCAATGCAGACCAAGAAAAGGGGGTAAAACCTCATTAAATTCTAGCTTTGTTCCTAGGTCTTATATCAGGGGTGGAAAATGTGGCCCGGGGGTGGATGCAGCCCACCAGCCCATTCTATCTGGCCCACAGGGCTCCTAAAAAATTTAGAAAATTAATATTTATCTGCCCCTGGCTGCCTATCATCCGGCCCTCAATGGCTTGCCAAAACTCAGTAAGCTGCCCTCCGCCCAAAATAATTGCCTGCCCCTGTCCTATATGCTAAGGTGACGGGTGGATTATAGATTCATAGATTGTAAGGCTGGAAGGGACCTTGGAAGATCATCGGGTGCAACATCCTGCATCCTGGATCAAGCAGGAAAGATAACTGGGGGTCAGGTGACCCCAGCAAGGTGATTGTCCAGTCTCCTCTTTAAGATTTCCAGGGTAGGTGACTGCACCACCTCTGGAGGGAGCTTATTCCACAGTCTGGACACCCTGACTGTGAAGAAGTTTTTCCTAATGTTGATCCTGAACTTCCAGGTGTTTTGTGGCCATTACTCCTAGTTTTCCCTTTGGGTGCCCTGGTGAACAGTTGCTCACCGAGCCCTTGATGTACTCCCCTATGGTAGCGGTAAGCTGCTGCCAGGTCTCCTCTCAGCCTTCTTTTCTTCAGGCTGAAGAGTCCCAGGTCCCTCAGCCTTTCCTTGTATGGCTTGCTGTGTAAGACTCTGATCATATGGGTGGATCTTCTTTGGACTCTCTCAATCTTGTCCATGTCCTTGTTAAAGTGTGGTGCCCAGAACTGGATGCAGTACTCCAGCTGCGGTTTCACCAGTGCCAAGTAGAGTGAAAGAATCACCTCCTTGGTTTTGATGGAGATGCGTCCATTAATCAATGCCACAGTATTATTTGCCCTACTGGCTACAGCATCGCACTGTTGGCTCATATTCATCCTGTGGCCTATTATTACCCCCAGGTCCCTTTCATTCCTGGTGCTAATCAGTTGGGTGCCAACAAGCCTGTTGGGGATTGCTTGTCCCGAGGTGGAGCACTTTACATTTCTCGACGTTGAACTTGGTCAGATTCTGAGCCACCCAACTTGCTAACCTGTCTAGGTCCACCTGTATCTGTAGCCTATCTTCAAATGTGACCACACTCTCCCGTAATTTGGTGTCTTCTGCAAACTTGGCCAGTGAGCTCTTCACCCCCACATACAAATCGTTAATAATGATGTTGAAAAGTACTGGGCTAAGCAGTGACCCCTGTGGGACACCACTGCCCACTTCATCAGAACAACACAGATCCATTCGCTATGACAGTCTGGATCCTATCCTGCAGCCAGTTTCTCACCCACCTGACTGTCTCGGAGTTAAGCCCATAATCCTCCAATTTTCTTGCGAGGACATTGTGGGATACTAGATCCAAAGGCCTTTTGGAAGTCTAGGTATACAATGTCAACCTGCTTTCTTGTGTCCAGGTAGCAAGTTACCTGGTCGTAGAAGGAGATGAGGTTGGTAAGGCAAGACCTGCCTGTAATGAAGACCTGCCTGTGACAAAGCCATGCTGGCTATCATTCAGAATCTTACCTTCTGCAAGCTTATTGCAGATAGACTATTGATTAACTTTTCTAGGATTTTCCCTAGGATGGAATTTAGGCTAATGGGCCAATAGTATATAATGGATGACCAAATCACTGTGAATCACATAATTTCAGCTGAATTTTTCTTCTTCCAGAAACAATTTTTCTTCTTCCTGAAATCTGCTGTGGAAATTTGACATGGCATATCTTTAAATTATGTTGCTCTACTGTAGTTACTATTAGGTGGTGCACCCATTTTTCTACACATTGTTAATTTTTCAATAACCTTCTAGCCTAATTTTCTGACTTGGACACTTAGGGCATTTTTACACATACTCCAATGTGCTCTGATTAGAATGCATCAGAGCAGATTTGATTACCATATTTTCGCGCATATATCCCGCGGGGTATACGCAATTTTACCAAAAAAATGGATGGGTGAGGGCTATATGGGGGTACAGGCTATCCACAGACTTTTTTCCCCCACGGGGCCGGGGCTGGGCT